ATATTTTCTTTATTCTAAGAGCTTGACTGTAGGTAATGAATCGTTTAGTGTGAGATGGGTGACAGCTTCTATAGTAAAGGTATTGTGGTCTGTCTGTAGGTTTTTTTGTACAAGTCAGTGTATAAAATTCCGTCTTTTAGAAGAATAGTGACGTCAAGAAAGTTAATCTGAGTAGGCGAGTAATCACAGGTAAACTTGATTGTTTTGTGAAAGGAGTTTGCATGTGAAATAAATTATTTAAGTGATTTAAGACCGGCTGTCCAAATGAAAAATATGTCGTTTATGTAGCGTTTCCACGTATGAGGTTTTACAGGGCTTAGTTGTAAAAAATGCAATTACCAATATGTAGGACATACACAAACAACTCTTTGAAAACGTTTCAACAACCATAAATCTTCTATTAACACCGAAAAGTTGCTCAACAATTTAACAAACCCGGTCATTCCATTAACGATGTTACTCTCATCGGCATTGAAACAGGATTCAAAACTAAAGCAGATACAGAAATAAAAGAAGTTTATTGGATTGCTAATCTAAACACTGTTCAACCTTATAGAATTAATCTAGAACCTGGAATCAGTGATCTCCGTTCATTGGTTTCATCTCTGTCAGAAAAATAATTTTTATTTGTTGCTTATTTTTTTAATGTAATGTGAACACTGAATTTCCTAAAACCTACTATTCACTTAAGATAATTTTCCATACCTGTTTTTTATAAATTGATTAACATAACATATCTTTTTCAATCAGTTTCCAGGTGTCACTATTATTTAACTTAAGCACTTAAGTATAGTTTTAAATATACATATATTTATCCATTTCTAAACTAAAATATCCCTAACACCTTTTCACATACACTCTCGCCATCGGCTACAATGTACAGAAATGAGATGCTGACAACAATACATAGAGAAATAGACTAAAGATTTCCTGGAAAACCGGATGACCTTCATGACATCAATAAACTTCCTTTATATATATATCACTCACTCGATTACACCGCCATTCCCAG